AAATCCTGCGCGCGGGACGCGGCACGCGCGAGACATCCTTGGAAATCCTGCGAGCGGGACACGAAAACAAGCATTTCGCCTGAGACATCCTCTGAATTCTGGCCCCCCACGAAGCCCCCGCTCGAGGCATCCCAGAATTTTGCAAAACCAGCATTTCGCTCGAGACATCCTCAATGAATTATGAACAATTACCCTGTGACGTACCCAACCCATTTGTATCAATGGAAACGAGGAGTTGGCCGAAACTTTTATGGACAATCAACTTGATGTGTAAGCTACTTGGGAGGCGTCACTGTGCTGGGCCCCGCCAGCAGGCCTCGAAAGTGGCGACTGTTTCACAGATCGCAGCCCCCCAGGGATGGCGAGGTCTAATTTGAATTTGCGTGTGTACCCACCGTGCTGGCCCCCCAGCAGGCCTCGAAAGTGGCGACAGTTTCACAGATCGCAGCCCCCCAGGGATGGCGAGGTCTAATCTGAATCCCCGTAGGGCGTCACTCCGCTGGGCCCCCCAGCAGCCTCGAAAGTGGCGACAGTTTCACAGATCGCAGCCCCCCAGGGATGGCGAGGTCCAATTTGAATCCGCCGTGGGTACCCACTGTGCTGGGCCCCCCAGCAGGCCTTGGAAGTGGCGACAGTTTCACAGATCGTAGCCCCCTTGGGATGGCGAGGTCCCATTTGAATCCGCCGTGGGTACCCACTGCGCTGGGCCCCCCAGCAGGCCTCGAAAGTGGCGACAGTTTCACAGATCGCAGCCCCCCAGGGATGGCGAGGTCCCATTTGATTCCGCCGTGGGTACCCACTGTGCTGGGTCCCCCAGCAGCCCTCGAAAGTGGGGCGACAGAAGTTTCACAGATCCAAAGCCCCCGGGAATGGCGAGTTCCCATTTGAAATCCGTCCGGTGTCCCCACTGTGGCTGAGGGCCCCCCCCCCCAGCAGGCCTCGAAAGTGGCGCCCGTTTCACAGATCGCAGCCCCCCAGGGATGGCGAAATCTCATTTGAGTCCGCCGTGGGTGCCCACTGTGCTGCGTCCCCCAGCAGGCCTCGAAAGTGGCGACAGTTTCACAGATCGCAGCCCCCCAGGGATGGCGAGGTCAAATTTCAATCCGCCGTGTGTACCCACCGTGCTGGGTCCTCCAGCCTCGGAAGTTGCGACAGTTTCACAGATCGCAGCCCCCCAGGGATGGCGAGGTCTAGTTTGAATCTGCGGTGGGTGCCCACTGCGCTGGGCCCCCCCCAGCAGGCCTCGAAAGCAGCGACAGTTTCACAGATCGCAGCCCCCCAGGGATGGCGAGGCCAAATTTGAATCTGCAGTGGGTGCCCACTGTGCTGGGCCCCTCAGCAGCCCTCGAACGTGGCGACAGTTTCACAGATCGCAGCCCCCCCAGGGATGGCGAGGTCTAATTTAAATCTACGGTGGGCACCCGCTGCGCTGGGCCTCTCAGCAGGCCTCGAAAGTGGCGACAATGTCACAGATCGCAGCCCCCAGGGATGGCGAGGTCTAATTTGAATTTGCGGTGGGTACCCACTGTGCTGGGCCCCCCAGCAGGCCGCGAAAGCGGCGACAATTTCACAGATCGCAGCCCCCCCAGGGATGGCGAGGTCACATTTGAGCCCGCCGTGGGTACCCACTGTGCTGCCCCCCCCCCAGCAGGCCTCGAAAGTGGCGAGAGGTTCACAGATCGCAGCCCCCCAAGGATGGCGAGGTCCCATGTGGTCCGCCGTGAGTGCCCACTGTGCTGGGCCCCCCAGCAGGCCTCGAAAGTGGCGACAATTTCACAGATCGCAGCCCCCCAGGGATGGCGAGGTACAATTTCAATCCGCCGTGTGTACCCACTGTGCTGGGCCCCTCAGCAGGCATCGAAAGTGGCGACAATTTCACAGATCGCAGCCCCCCAGGGATGGCGAGGTACAATTTCAATCCGCCGTGTGCACCCACTGTGCTGGCCCCCCAGCAGGCCTAGAAAGTGGCGACAGGTTCACAGATCGCAGCCCCCTGGCAAGCGTCGAAGGCCATGTGGTCCGCCTGTGGGAAACCCACCTGCGCGTCTGGGCCACCCAAAAAGGCTTGGAAAGTGGCGAAAATGGCGACAAATTTCACAGATCGCAGCACCCCCAGGGATGGCGAAAATCCCATTTAGTCAGCCGGGGTACCCACTGTGGCTGCGCCCCCAGCAGGCCTCGAACGTGGCGACTGTTTCACATATCGCAGGCCTTCCCAGGGATGGCGAGGTACAATTTCAATCCGCCCGTGTGTACCCACTGTGCTGGGCCCCCCAGCAGGCCTCGAAAGTTGCGACAGTTTCACAGATCGCAGCCCCCCAAGGATGGCGAGGACTAAGTTGAGTCCGCGGTGGGTACCCACTGTGCTGGGCCCCCCAGCAGGCCTCGAAAGTGGCGACAGTTTCACAGATCGCAGCCCCCCAGGGATGGCGAGGTCACATTTGAAACCGCCGTGGGTACCCACTGTGCTGGGCCCCCCAGCAGGCCTCGAACGTGCGACAGTCAGATTCACATATCGCAGGCCCCCCAGGGATGGCGATGTCCAAAATGTGAGTCCGCCGTGTGTACCCACTGCGCTGGGCCCCCCCCCCCAGCAGGCCTCGAAACTGGCGACAGTTTCACAATCGCAGCCCCCCAGGGATGGCGAGGTCCATTTGAGTCTGCCGTGGTACCCACTGTGCTGGGCCCCCCAGCAGGCCTCGAAAGTGGCGACAGTTTCACAGATCGCAGCCCCCCAGGGATGGCGAGGTCAAATTTCAAGCCGCCGTGGGTACGTCGCCCTCACTGTGCTGGGCCCCCCCAGCAGGCCTCGAAAGTGGCGACAGTTTCACAGATCGGCCCCCCAGGGATGGCGAAATCCCATTCGACTCCGCCGTGGGTACCCCACTGTGCTGCGCCCCCCAGCAGGCCTCGAAAGTGCGACAGTTTCACAGATCGCAGCCCCCCAGGGATGGCGAGGTCCAATTTCAACCCGCCGTGTGTACCCACTGTGCTGGGCCCCCCAGCAGGCCTCGAAAATTGCGACAGCTTCACATATCGCAGCCCCCCAGGGATGGCGAGGTCATATTTGAATCCGCCGTGGGCACCCACTGTGCTGGGCCCCCCAACAGGCCTCGAAAGTGGCGACAGTTTCACAGATCGCAGCCCCCCAGGGATGGCGAGGTGCAATTTCAATCCGCCGTGTGTATCCACTGTGCTGGGCCCCCCAACAGGCGTCGAAAGCAGCGATAGTTTCACAGATCGCAGCCCCCCAGGGACGGCGAGGTGCAATTTCAACCCGCCGTGTGTGCCCACTGTGCTGGGCCCCCCAGCAGGCCTCGAAAGTGGCGACAGCTTCACATATCGCAGCCCCCCAGGGATGGCGAGGTGCAGTTTCAATCCGCCGTGCGTACCCACTGTGCTGCGCCCCCCAGCAGGCCTCGACAGTGGCGACAGTTTCACAGATCGCAGCCCCCCATGGATGGCGAGGTCATATTTGAATCCGCCGTGGGCACCCACTGTGCTGGGCCCCCCAGCAGGCCTCGAAAGTGGCGACAGTTTCACAGATCGCAACCCCCCAAGGATGGCGAGGTGCAATTTCAATCCGCCGTGTGTACCCACTGTGCTGGGCCCCCCAGCAGGCCTCGAAAGTGGCGACAGGTTCACAGATCGCAGCCCCCCCAGGGATGGCGAGGTCCCATTTGAGTCCGCCGTGTGTACCCACTGTGCTGGGCCCCCCAGCAGGCCCTGAAAGTGGCGACAATTTCACAGATCGCAGCCCCCCAGCTGGCACGCAGCGACGAGCGAGGCAAAAGGCAAGGGGGAGGAGAGGGGCGGGAAGGAAGAAAGGAGACGCGCGAGCAGTACTCTATTCAAAACGAGAACCCAACGCAGGAGGTTGGGAAAAAGCGTTTCGCTCGAGACATCCTGCCAAAATTCTAAGAAATCCTGACAAAACAAGCGAATTAGTCGAGACATCCTCGAAATTCCTGCGCGCGGGACGCGGCACGCGCGAGACATCCTCTAACTTCCTGCGCGCGGAGCGCTTTTCCGCGTCGCGGTCGGGGCTCCAGACCCTGTTATTTGTCGAGGATTCTGCGAAAAACGCTCCGCACCCTCTTTTTTACGAATGAAAGCGGGGGTCTGCGGACCCCGTTTTTTATCGAGGATCCGAGATGGGGGGGCGCACTTTCCTCGAGCGGGCACGCACGAAACGCACTGATTCACAAAACACACACACACACACACACACACACACACACACACACACTTTACCTCGTTATTTACGTAGAATAATTTCGCCTGCCCTCTTCAAATCAAAACCGTGGGTAAACCAGCTAAAAGAGAACCCTGGGCCCACGCCCTTTCCGGGAAAACAACGAATGAGCGTGGCGCTAAGGCGAGAACTACATTTTGAAAACGGGTTCCCCTCGACATGTGAAACTCTTGCTTTTTTGCAACGAAGGTGCGCGGCGCTAAGACGAGAGCCACATGTTGAACACCACCCGCCCTCAACCCGTGAAACTCTTACACATGTTTAAAACGAATGTGCGCGGCGTTAAAGCGAGAGCTACATTTTGAAAACCACCCGCCCTCCATATGTGAGGCTGTTGCCAATTTTGAAGCTTTAGGGTCATAGATGGTGAGGAAGTCTCAGGCGAAACGCCAGGCCCGCCCTAAAACTTGCCTCGGGATGCGACAGGGAGAAGTTATTTATAAGGAAAAGGAATGGAAGAGGAGGAGGAGGAGGAGGAGGAGGAGGAGGAGAGGAGGAGGAGGGAGGAGGAGGAGGAGGAGGGAGGAGGGATGGAGGAGGAGGGAGGAGGAGGAGGACTGGAGGGAGAGGAGGAGAGGAGGAGGAGGAGGAGGAGGAGGAGGAGGAGGAGGAGGAGGTGAGATCTGGCGGCTCTGGAGGATGCCTCGGGCGCCGCGGCCATTCTCAAAGGGTGCACCGGCACGCTCTGAGAGCGCGCCTGGGCGCTCTGCCACGGACTTCTGTCCTCGTCCCGGCCCCGCCCGGCCTCGGCCCGCAGCACCACGCCGTGGCCCGTCAGCTCCCCGCGCAGCCGGAACGGGCCGCCCCCCGCGCCGCCGAGGACACTGCCTGGGGGGCGACGAGGGTGAAGGACCCCAGACACGCCCATGTCCTGAAAGAAACAGGACGGCCAGAGCCCGGGGCGAGGGCCCGGCGAGGGCCCCCAGGGGCCGAAAATAGCGAAAAACCTCCCGCCTTGGTTTTTGTTACGACGCCATCATGTCGGGGTCGCCCCCCCCTGTCGTTGCCCCTGGCTGCCCTCGAGCTTCCCCGCGTCGCGCGTCATCAGCACCACCTTCGGGCGCGCTGAGGGCCCAGACGACGACGACGACGACGACGACGACGACGACGACGACGACGTCGACGACGACGACGACGACAACGACGACGACGACGGCGACGCTCTGGGGGCCCTCTCGGCGGGCCTTGCGGCCGTCCAAGAGGGCGACGCGGGGTGGGGAAAACGCCGCGCCAGGGGAGGGGTCGAGGCCTCCGGGGGCCCACGCCTTGAAGACGTCACGACGCCGCGCGTCAGAGAAGAGAGGGGGGGCCGGCTGCGCGCAGGAGTGGCCCTGGGCAAGCGGGAGCCTCGAGGGACGCGGGGCGGCCACCCCTGTGCGCGCAGGCCGCTGCTGCCGCTTCGAGCCGAGCCATCGGGGGATCCCATCGGGCCCGCAGCAGAGGTCACCGCGGCGAAGGGCCACTCACGTGCAGTCGATACGCATATAGGGGAGGGGCTCCGCGCACCCTGGCCCGAGGCGCATGCGCGGACAAGGGCAGGGCCGGGACCTTGGGAGGCGGTCGAAAGAGGAGGAGGGACCAGAAACTCTGGGGAGCATCGTGGTCCCGGCCAGGATGTCCACACTGGCCCCTGGTCCTTCTTTTCTGTTGTTTCAAACAAAAAAAACTGGCAAAATCAGACATTTGAAGGTCATGTCGACAAGTCGTCCTGGGGACGTCGCCGGGGGCATTTTTCCGATGCTGACATCGTTGCTGACGGTCCAGGGACCGAAAACGGCCCCCAGGGGACGTAAAGCCGAAGGTGGACGAATCGACGAGGACAGTTGCTTTCCTTTCCCGAGGCGGTGTGACCCTTGCCCCCTCTTGGACCGACGGACAGGAAGAGCTCGGCCAGGCGAAGCTCGGGGCCAGGCTGAACACGCCCAGATGAGCTCGGCCAGGCAATTCCGCCTGGCCGAGTCCTAATGGGCCTGCTTTCCACCACCGCCACCATAAGTTGGAGTGGGGAAGGAGGTGGAGGACGAAGAGGAGGAGGAGGAGGAGGAGGAGGAGGAGGAGGAGGAGGAGGAGGAGGAGGAGGAGGAGGAGTGAGGAGGAGGAGGAGGAGGAGGAGGAGGAGGAGGAGGAGGAGAGAGGAGGAGGAGGAGGAGGAGGAGGAGGAGGAGGAGGATGAGGAGGAGGGAGGAGGGGGGAAGAGGAGGAGGAGAGGAGGGGAGGAGGAGGAGGAGGAGGAGGAGGAGGAGGAGGAGGAGGAGGAGGAGGAGGAGGAGGAGGAGGAGGAGGGAGGAGGAGGAGGAGGAGGAGGAGGAGAGGAGGAGGAGGGAGGAGGAGGAGGAGGAGGTGGAGGAGGTGGAGGAGGAGGAGGAGGAGGAGGAGGAGGAGGAGGAGGAGTACCCCCTCCCCCTCCAACTTACGGTGGTGGTGGTGGTGGTGGAAAACAGGCCAACCAAGTCCAGCCTGGCCGCGCTCAGCCTGGCCGCGCTGGGCGGCCCCTGGACGCCCCGAGGCGCCTGCGCCTCGCAGGCCTCCTCGCCCGGGCCCTCGCCGCAGGCGGCGAGGGCCCAGAAGCCCCAGAGGGCCCTCTGGCTGGCCAGCCGCCAGCCCCACTTCTTCCCGCACAGCTGGCCCCGGCCCTCGGCGTCCCCCGCCGCGTCGGCCTCGGCGCCCTCCTCGGGCCACGGCGGCCAGTTTTTGTTCCGCCCCACTCTCGACGTCTGGGGGATCTGGGGGGGGGGGGCCCTCTCTACGCAAGTGGAGCACGCCACAGCCAACGAGGACGGATTCCAGCAATCTCGGTACCAACTGCAACCAACGTTCACTCATTCCAACCGCTTTGGAAGCTTCTTAGAGCTGAAAGGTTCCTTAGAGGTTCCTCCGAGGTTCCCTAAAGGTTGCGTCGAATTCCCTGGGGATTCCTTGGGAATTTCTTGTGATTCCTGAAGATTCTTCACGCACTTCTCGCGATTCATGAGCCTTCCTCCAGAATCCTTCAGGAATCCCCTTCGATGTCCTGGGACACCCGGTGGAATTCCTAAGGAATGCCTGGGGAGTCCTGATGGTTTTCGGGTGTGTTCCTGATGGGTTCTTGATGGATTCCTGATGGATCATCGATGGCTTCCTGCTGGATTCCTGGGGACTCCTGCAGATTCGGGATGGATTCCTGAGGGCTCCTGAGGACTTCTTGTGGGTTCCTGGCGGTTCCCTGATGGCCTCCTGAGGAGGAGAAGGAGAAGGACGAAGAGGAGGAAGAGGAGGAGGAGGACAAGGAAAAGGAGGAGGACGAGGAGGAGGAGGAGGAGGAGGAGGAGGAGGAAGAAGAGGAGGAGGAGGAGGAGGAGGAAGAGGAGGGTGAAATTGAGGAGGGGGGGGGGGGAGGGGGAGGACGGGGAAGAGGAGGAGGAGGAGGAGGAGGAGGAGGAGGAGGAGGAGGAGGATACAGTGCGCCGCTGCCAACCAAACTCCAGAGTGCAAGGGATGCAGGGGCTGCCGGGCAGAGATTCAAGGATTACGGCACCCGGCACTCGGAGGTCTTGGAGGGCGCGGAGCCTTTACGACCCCGCTGCAAAGCCTCGCGCTGGTGCTCGGTGATGGCATGCGGCCCCAGAGGCGGCCACTGGACAGGGCTCCCACAAAGAGCCTGGGCGAGCTATCGCCCACGAGCCACAGTCGCCGCAGAAAGCGTAGGCCCCCTTCTGCCACAGAACGTGGGAAGGATGGCCCGCCAGCCCAGCAACCCGAGGCGAGGCTCGCCCAGGGAGCGGGTCGAGCCGCAGAGGACGCCACAGGGAGTCCTCCCTGGCAGGGAGAGGCCTTCCAGGCCTCGCCCACGTCTTGGTCGTGACCTCCTCCGCCCCCACCGAGCCCCCAGCTCCACCTCCAGCAGAAGCAGGGCAGGCAGAGCAGAGCCTCGCTCGAACAGAGGGGGCGACGTCGGGAGCTGGAGGAAGAGGAGGAAACGGAGGACTCAAGTCCCATCTCGGCCCAAGTCTGTCAGGCTCGAATGAGCTAGCGGCACGGGCGAAGCGTCCCGGGGCTGAACCATACGTGTGCAGACTTGAGCGCCGGTCGATGTTCGCCTTCTTCGGGGCGGCTTTCGCCGGTGAACGCCGGGTAATGTGGCTGCAGGAGTATCTCGCACATCCAGTTCCTCACAGTTGGGTGGATGTGTTACTGGTCACACATTGTTACATGTGTTCGCGGACGCAATCACTCACATTCAAGTTGGTGGGTGCGCTTTTCGTGCTGCGCGTTGAGGTCGTTCTCTCAACTGCAATGGTGGGAACTGAATGCGCCGGCCATCCGTACACTGAGCCGTGCAATTTTTTGAATACTGGTTTCCAGAATCGGCGTGGCGGTGGCGTTGCGTACTTTACATTCGCGCGTGGCTTCTGTATTCGTCCTGTACTGGGTGCGTTCTCAATCACGCTACCTCCAGGTATTTGGCACTATGGGTTACTGCGTGCTTGCGTTGCAGTCAGAGTCACACTTTTCTGTAGTACGAAGCAGCAGTCCCATCGGCAATTATATGGTGAATTGTCTTGTTTGATTGTGCACGCATCGTTCGTGCACGCGGGGCCAGTTCTTCGGCCTCCACGAGTCGCCCCATGGCAGTATTGCAGAGCATGTGTTAGATTTCGTTCGCGTTGTTTGTGGGCGTCCGCGGGATTCGCTTTCCCTGGTCTACTTCGGCGCGATCGTGCGCAAGTTCCTGGAACTTCTGGGGAGGAATTGTTGCTTTTGGTCGTTCGGGTTCTGCTGGTGGCGAGTTCCCTTCGTGTCCTCAATGTGGGGAGTTGTATGTGGCTGGCTTGGCATACTGCCTGCGTGCAGCTTCCCGGTGCCAGTGTAGTGGGAAACGTGTTTGGGTTTCTTCGCGCACTGGTGCATGAACGTGAATTTCCGCAGGCGCCGTGGGGAGGCGTGGTCTGCTTGACCTATCCTTTCTTGATGCAGCGAAGGCAGCGAAGGAAGTGAAGAGGAGGAGGAGGAGGCGGAAAGAGCTCTGGAGTTCCACATCACAAATGAAAGCATGGCGAGGCGATCGCAACCGCCACCAGGCGAAGAACATCACGCAGGAGGTTCAAAACAAACGCCAATCGACCTCCACTTTGCCACCAGACACCACGCGCTTGAGGTCAGACATTTCACGCTGTGCGAACGCCGAGCCATAGAGGAAGTTCTCGTTGAGGAGGAGTTGCGCAGGTGCCCGCTGCGGCTGCGGGGCCGCCTGCGCCGCGTCAGCTTAGTTGTGAGAACCGCCCCACGTTCGCGATCGAAGAACCATTTGCCACCGCATTTCTGCGTGAGCTCATGTTTGATGTTCTTGCCGATGACCTCCGTGGCGATCTGCTTTGGAGACTTGTCGGGGCCCAGGTGCAGCCTGCTGGAGGCCCCTGCGGGATGCGACACATGAAGCTGGCGCCATTCACCATCTGTCCGAAGATGCCCAATAACTTTGGCGACGAGGCGAGAGGCAGGGGCCAGGGGACTTCGGGAGGCAGCGTCGAAATGCTGCGCCGCCGACTTCCCTTTGAAGAGATATTTGTCTGATGAAATTCAAATCTCCGAGAGGAAGGCGTCAGCAACTTCGCGCGCCCCCGGCTCGGGGGCAGGCGCCGACGCGCGCGCGCGGACAAGCCTCGGGTCGATGTCTCGCGCGAACCCGCTCTGCGCGAGGTCGACAACCTTCGCTTCTTCATTGGCGACCGCGAGCTCACCCTTGAGCACTTTGATGTCGCGCTGGGGGGGTTCGATGGCTGCCGCGCGCTCGTCGAGGGTCGAAATATGCTCGCGCGCGCAGGGTGAGTCGGCCCAGCTGAGCTTGATAATTCTTGAACTGTTCTGACATCATCTCTTGAGCTATGGCAAGAATGGGCTTCTTGACCAGACCAGGAACAGCTCGCAGCCCTTCGCGCGCGGAACCGAGCTTCGCCATGGCGGGGGCCAGGGCGTCAGCGATGGCGGTGGCGACTCGCTCTTCCACGCCGGCAGTAGTACCTGCATAGAGGGACTCGAGGCGCGATCCAATGGCCGAGGCAACATCGG